TCATAGACTGTCCCTTTCTTTCTTTCTCTCATGCCATTATTAGTTGGCATTGGGACTTGCAATCACAGTGACCTAAGCCTCCCCCCCTCCACTTTGCTTTATAAAATCCTAAGCTTTAGAGGTGGACATGATTAATTTGTGTTGAATTTGATTGGGTTGCTTTAACTAAACACATTACGTAAGTGAACGTCATTTTTCACTAAACTAGACTCCGTTCGAGAAGAAAGACAAGATGAAAGCCAAATCATAAAGTAAACACACACAAATTTATATGCTAGTTTATTTCTTTTAATTAAATACTGCACACAGAAAAATCATTTATTATTTTGATGTGCAGTGTGTATGAGAAAGAATGAATAAACTGGGTAGAGGGTGGAAAGTGTTGAGAGTGTTTGTCCCACATTGAAAAGTTAAGGGACCAAGCCTGGGTTTATAAGGAGTTGGGCTACTCCCCCCATTGCCAATTGGTTTTGGGGTGGAACCTCAACTTCCTTCATGGTATCAGAGCGGGTTAGCCCACGTGTGAAAGCCCAACGGCCACACATGCTCCACGTCACTCAATATGTGTTGTCCACGTGCTATGCTTGAAAATTCGCCACACGTGCGGGGGCGTGTGAGAATGTGAAGGTAAAGAGTCCCACATTGGAAAGTTGAGAAACCTATCAAGGGCTTATAAGGAGTTGAGCTACTCCCCCCATTGCCAATTGGTTTTGGAGTGGAACCTCAACTTCCTTCATAAAGGAGAAGGCAATGAAAACAAAACCTACAGGGTACCGCCCTATTAAGGAAACAGGGATTAGATTCCTTCATTCCAATTTCTCCAAATAGATTATGAGGGAGCCAAGAAGTGGACAAATGGGGCATTGACACGTGTAATGGTGTGCTCTCATATACGAGGCCAACTGATTGGTGTAACTGTCATGTGTATAAAAAGTTTAGAATTAGAATACATTATTGTATATAGTGAGAGTTGGTTCATGGTTGGCATGGCTGGCTCTCCTTTTGGGAAAGCTAAAACCAAGCAACCAAATCCCAGCCATGGCAACATGGGATTCGAGATCTCTTAACCAGAGCTTTAGAATTCTTTTAACCTCAAACAAAGACTGAATTGTTGATCATTACTCTCTCTCTCTCTCTCCCTCTCTCTCTCTCTAGAAAAATAAAGTAGGTATAGTACTTGGACTTGACCTTTAATCAATTGGAGAAGCACGTTTCAGACTTTAAATTATGTGATTCTATTATTGTACTTACTAAACAGTCGCATACAAGTTTACAAGTACGCATGCATGTTTAATGTATTTATGACATGATAATCTTTAATTCTTATACTTCACTTAAAGCGTGCGGGCGTAAGTAAAATTTTGGAACTAGAAAAACCCATGTACTTCGTATTTCAAAACAAATATTCCAAGTGAACCAATGAGGACGGCCATTCAAGCTATGTTCTTCTTGAGTTGCAAATCTATTTTGTTTTCCTCACTAAATTGTTAATGCGTATGCTTCTAGATGCTTGTTATTTTCCAGGTACGTATTTATTAAAAAGTATACATGTGTATCTTTGTAGAAAAACTTGTATGAAACGGGGATAGCACTGTTTTGCTATCTCCGACCAATTACAGACTGTCATGTGAAAAAGTTATCACGCAAAGCATATCGTAATTGGTCGAAATAGCAAAATAATACTATTCCCGTTTCATATAAGTGTTTCTCGTAACTTTGAAAATAAAAAAAAATGGTCACAATCCTAGGAACACATTTATTAGGATGAAAACTTAATTAAGATGTTGAAGAGTAGAGGAAGAATGTCAGCTGGGGTGAATGGACACCAGATAAACATAGAATCTCCTTTTTAAAAATGATGAATTTCATGCAAACATCATTACATAGCATATCATGATGAGATGTTGTTGAATGATTGTTTTAAAAACTTTTGTAGCCACTTTTGGCTCACTTTTTCTGAAAACCAAATTCCAGAAAATCCACCTCTTCTTCTTTTTTATTTCTCAGTAGAACTAGAAGATGCCTTCTTGAAAATGTGAGGCTCTTTCCTGTTCTTTTTCCCTAGTACCTTTTAAGTTTTTAACTCTGCTGCAAAAGTAAACGTTGGTGCAAGAGATAAATCTATGGCAATGGGACCCCTTTAGGTAGGGATGAGGAGGAGGGGGCATTGTGATAAAAGAGTGCCTGCTATTCCAGCTATTTGTCTCGCCATGCATATGACTGTCTCTAGAGATCTTAATCGGTACACTACCATCTAGTAGGGCACGTCCTGTAGGTAGGTACAGTCTGCAGATCATAACGGGTGAAAAATCAGACCTTTGCAGGGGAAAATGTTCAAAATATTTGATGATTTGATGAAGTTAAGAGCACTTCCACCCATTTGTCATGGCAAAGGGTAAGGGCTGTTACTATTCATGTGAATAGTGGCAGTCCTTGCAAAAGGCTTATGATGTTTCCATCCATTACCATGGCAATTCAAGTGTAACCACTATTCATATGAGATATGATAAAATGAATTTATACAGAGTTTTGGTGTGGGAAGTGAAGAATATGACTAAGTATTTATTTAAAAAAATTCTGAAATTTTTAGTATTTTTTTTAAATTTTTTCGTTGCTGACGTCAGCAAACCCAGGCAACAGCTCAGGCTATTCTTGCCTTTGGACTGACCCGGTTTGCTGAGACCCATGCGCTGCCCGGGCTATAGAAGCCTGCAGTAACATCAAACTAGGGCTTGGGCCCCCTGTTGCCCGGGCTGGGGGGCACCGCTAGAAGTGCTCTAAGGAGCTCATCGGCTATTGGAAAATTCCATCACCGGTGTGCCCTTTTCTTCCCAATATACAATCTTCAAATTGTCTCACATTGCACTCCGAGCCCTTCAGACTTGGTCACATAGAGTTTTGCTTCCATTAGTGATTGATCATTCAAAACATGATGAATTTGGCACTTCAAATTTTATCTCACACACTCTACAATTTATTTACGAGAAGTGCATGAGGTAATTTAAATGTGATTTTAAAGTGCCAAAATCATCATCGGTGCTCAAACCCTCCAACATCACGTCACGTATTTTGGATACTTGGTTGATTTTCACCCCCATAACAGCTACTGTCACTATCTAGTCCAAATAAACTCTTATCATTGGAAACTTTTGTACTTGACGCTACCTAGTCCAAGTAGGCAACTATATCTTCTGTGAAATAAAAGAAGCTTAATAAGATTTGTTGTTTGGTAACTGTAATGTCTTGATATAAATCTAATCCCAAAATCCGAAATTGACCTAAACAATTCAAAAAGTAGGTTAAAGTAGAGATGCGAATGCATGGAAAGCTAGCTAGTACTTAAACATATGAGCCCTAGTGAAATATGAAAACCAAAGTCTAAGATTCTAATTGGAGTGATGGGTCTAAAAAAATGAAAATAATTTTTTCTTGGATGAGATTTGTGTAGCCTCTCTTCTTTAGACAAGTAATTTGGAGTCTTTTGCACTTAAAAGTGTGTCTCTCTTTCTAAGGTAATAAGGATAAGAGTGTTGCTTGAACACGTTTTGCTTGCCGCTTGGAGAGTGAGTGTTTGAGACATCAAATGTCTTCTAATTAATGTTCAATCCACATCTCCACTTAGTCAAATTCACGTATCTACACAGATGCTAGGATTCGAATCCAGGACTTTTTCTGAAGGAACAATTGCTCCAAACCATTACACCAATGGGTCCTTTGTCACATATACATGTTTAGTTTTCTTATTTGTAGGATTTTTGTTTTTTGGTTTTTGGTTTTTGGGAACAAGTCCCATTGCTATCAGAACAGAGGCCCAGGCATTTAAAATCAAAGTGGACCACATATACTTGGTCTTAGATCACATAAAGCCTGTAGCCATGACCGAACATAATTTTGCTTAGAAATATTTTGAATGGAAACGCAATAAAATAGCAAAGTTCCTAGTTGTATAAAGGTAGGGGTGGTGGTGGTCCAAACCTCAACAGTGTCAATGGAGGACATGACGACAATTAATTAACAAATGGGGATTGATAAATTGAGACAACACAACGTGCTTTGCGTCTCTTTGCTTTTGCTGGTACAAACTTAGAGATTGTATTGGCTGCATGCAAACTAAATGCTGCATCAAACTCTTGTCTCAGACTGGCATATGGAGAAAACATTCAATTTCAAAGATATATTTTTTTCTTTCTGGCAGGCAACAGAGATTTCAAATTCAGACTACTTCCAACTTGGTTTAGAAAAATGGGTTTAGAATGGACTTACAAGCTTTTTCAAGCCCAAGCAAGTTGGAAGTACCCAATTCAAAGAACCAGAGCCCATCCCAAGCAATTACCTAAATACTGAAACATTGGGTTTTTTCCTAATTTATTTAGCTGTATTTTTTTAAAAAGGGGTTTGAGAAAATGAATAAATGCATTTTTGTATAGGAATGAGGTAGGTCATGGCATCCATGATCATGATACCATGAATTGAAAGACATAATTGATTCCATTAGTAAAAGTAATTAAATGATGTAAACAATTAAAATCGCCTGCAATCAATTGCATATCACATGCACATAGAAATTCAAATCCATGGTGCAATAATTGCTTGAATTATTAAAAGCAAAATTAGTGGCTTGCCTGCCTTATGATGACCCGTTATGAATCTTATAGCTCCCTCAAAATAATTTTTTTAGAAAGAAAAAGAAAACAAAACTAGCCCCCAAATGTCTGTTTTCGTTTACTAAATAAATATAAACAATAGTCTAAATTAACATAATTTAGGAGGAAAAAGATTTGAACTTCAGTGTAAAAAGCAAACACACTGTCATGACCAACTGACTTAATTCACATTTCCTGCATAAACGTTGGACGTGTATGTATTTTTGGTGAGGGAGCTGATAAGAATCAGAGTCTATTTTATTTTAATTTATTTTAGATAGTAACGTTTTGCGTATATTGTACTTCAACTCAATTATTGAGGGAGCTGCCTACGTGGAACAGGTGCCAACGTGCAACGCACAAGACAACATTCTGAGTACGGCAGGCAGCCGTTGGAAGCTGTAGCACCACCACCATACAGTTTTGACTAATTGGTGCCCACTGCGCTCTTGGCTTTAGACTTCTCAGCTTCACAGATCCCAGAGCCTCAAACTCAAAGACCACAGCAAAATCCAAATTCGAAAGTCCACCTTGGTTTAACGGTAAAACGGAATGCCAACAAGTAGTTAAACCAACTGTTTAGTTTTTATCATATCTTTGTCATTCTTCTGTTTCTGGCTTTTCATTGTTCCTCCAATTTCCCTGCTGAGCTGCCAAGAAGACCCAGAGAACCTTCCTCCCAGCCTCCCAGGTATTCATCTAAGAACCCAGAAGCTGAATGTCCCTGAATTTTTTGTTTCTTGTTCGTACCGAAATTTCTTGTGCAAACAGTTCGGCATAATTGTTTTGGTTTCTGTTACATATTTTGAACTCTTCATGCATTTTGGATTGCTCAATTCTGTAACTTTGTTGTTGAATTTGCTCAATCATTGGAAGTTTACTGGATCTATATTATTTAGTGAAAGTCTCTAACTTCAAAACTCTTATGCTATAATGATAGTTCTGGAAGAATATCTTTAACCAATCAATTTTAGTTTCATTTTCAAAATTCAATAGTCTATACATTCTAATATGTAGGCTTTTGGATAACAAAGTTATATTCATTCTCTATCCACTCTAAACCTTCAAAGTTATAAGTTCATTGTGCTTCATGTCTGTTGGATTTGAAAGAAATAACATGGAAATAGGATATGGTTTGTTGCAAGTCATAGAGTAGAAGATGGGAAGTATTTCTTGTGGTGTTATCTAGCATCTGACAGTCAAGAAGGTTCATTATTTGTTGCTTGACAATTGTGCTTACCAAATGTTAGTAGGAGTTGGGTTGCTGAAGGGAATGGTTAATCTAATTTCATCGACTGTATTAAAGGTTTGGCTGCTAATTAGGCATTAATGGACTGACATTCTGAATGTCTTTCCCCACCTAACGAAGGGACGAACATCAATGGTGGTGACAGTATTTCATTTTTAGTTTACACTGAATGTCAAATGTTGGCTTGTTAGTTGTTACTTATCCTCAATTAGTCTAATCTGGTGGCAATAGTATGGATATTGTTTATATGTAGCAATCACTGTATTGTGGGGGGCTGTTCGTAGAATTTCTTGCTCTGACTTAAGTTTTCCTTTCTCAGTCTCATCCCTCTCTTTTGGAACTTTGTAGAGACTCAGATAGAAGAGATCAGGGCAAAGCCTTTTATTTTCCTTCCAGCAGGTATGGAAGACCATGCTGTTTGTGATAATACTGTTGGCAGTCCTGAGGTTGAGATAAACTACCTAAATCAACGGGTGCAATCTAATGAATCTGGCATGCAAGAGTTAGAGAGTTACTTGAAAGTTTTAACAAAGCTGGACTTGGACTTGGCATATTCTTCTGAGAAGTTGGCAAATCTCCATGTACCTCTTATATACCTGTTGGCTCAGCAGAATGATCTCGAGGCAATGGCCACCGTCAATAACTATATTCTTGCAGACTTTATTGAGAAAGTATTGGTATTCAATCTCCTATCTAGCATTCTAGATTCTGAGGTAAGAGAGCTAGACAATTTCATGGATGCTCTCCAAGCAGGAATTATTGATGCCCGTAAAAAAATATCTTCGTGCAGACACTTGGGAAAACTGTATTCTATAATGGAAGGAAAGTTAAATGATTCTGAAGAATCACTAAAGCAATCTCAAGATCAGATTTCAGAGCTTAAGATGCAGTCAGAAAGGTTTCAGAGAACCGTTCTAGCTTTTGCACATGAGAATTGTAAGTTAAAGTTTTCTGTCTAGTTAGGAGATTTTTTAAATTCAAATAGCAAAGATGCATTTTTTACTTGGTTATTATTTACTTGAGGCATACATGTCAACAGGGAAAACTGACATTGCCATGGATTTATCAGAAAATGCTCAACGGGCGAATAAAAACGTAAAGTCAAATTTAAAGATGCCTAGACAACAAAGACATAATCTGTGGATGCTGGAGAAATCACTTTCAAGAGAGCTATATCTTGAGAAGAAATTAACTGAATCAAGACAAAATGAAGAAGAACTTAAATTAAAGCTACATCATACAGAACAGGTAGCATTTCACATGGAAGAAGCAGCAGAAGTTGTTTGGGGAAGATTTTTAGAGGCAGAGAATGCTGCTGAGGTGCTCCAGGGGATTTCAAAGGAATTATTAGGTCGACTGCAGCTAATTCATTTTAATCTGAATGGTTCAATTCAACGAGAAAGTGAGCTAAAATTCAAACTTCAAGCTAGTTTAGAAGAGCTGAAAGCAAAAGATACTGCTTTGCAGAAGCTCAAGAATGTTCATGAAGAGAACATTAAGAAAGATGTTGAACTGTCTGCTTTGAGAGAAAAGGTGGTGTTCCTTGAGAAACAGCTGAAAGAATCAGAGCTCCAGCTGAAGAATGCAAATTCCACCAATGAATCAAGTCAAGAGAAACTTGGGGAAATGGAAAGGTTAGTTGAGTCTTTGAGAGAAAACATCTTTACAACAGAAGTTAAGGCTGAGAGTGCAGAACTTAAGGTTGCGGAATTAACAGGAACGAATGTGGAACTCACTGAAGAGATGAGTTTTCTAAAAGGAAGTGCTAGTAACACAGAAAAAAAGGTTGGCAGTCTAGAAAAGCAGTTGAGGGAAGTAGAGATCCAATTACAGCATGCAAAAGCATCCTCTGAAGCAAGTCAAGAGCAGCAGAATATGCTATATGCTGCAATTTGGGATATGGAAACTTTAATTGAAGATCTAAAATCAAAGGTTTCAAAAGCTGAAAATAAGACAGAAAGTACAGAGGAGCAGTGTGTTGTGTTATCTGAAACTAACTCAGAACTAAATGTGGAAATAACTGTTCTAAGGGATAGAGTGGAATACTTGGAATCGTCTTTGGATCAGGCTAACAATGCAAAATTTGCAAGTGCAGAAGAACTCAATACCAGAATCAAGTTCATGATGGATATGGCAATGCAACTAGCCATAGAACGAGAGCGCATCCAAAAGCAGGTATATCTTGGAACTTCTCTCTCTCTCTCTCTCTCTCTCTCCACTTACTGTCCTGTGGACGTTATTTTGTTGATGGTGCTGCCATAGAAAGCGGTGGCTAATGTTATGTTCGACAGTGGAAATCAAAATAGTTGCTTGTCATAAATAAGCAAAACTTAGCAATGTGATGGCCCACTTTTTCGCTGAAGGCCACAATTCAAATGGAAAATCTGTTGCGTCTATATATATATATATATATATATAAGAAAAGTCACTGAATTTCCATGGAAAAAACACTCAAGGTGTCTCAGTTCTTTGTGGCTTTATAACTTTCTTTCCCTACTTTTAAGAAAAAAGGATGAGTAAACTGATATGTAGCCAATTATGGAAAAAGAATCCTTTCACTATAGTTTCTTTTGTGCAGGTGCATGTCTTAATGATGGAGAAAAAACTGCTGGTGGAGAAGCTATGGAACACCAAAAAGGATGCAACTGAGTGCAACAACGAAGACAGTGAAAACAAAGAGCTTCCATTTTCCGAGAATAATTTTTTGAATGCTACTTCTATGAAGACATCCACAGAGGCTGTGACAGAGTCCTTAGATAAAAGTTTCCAGGCAGGTATTCCCTTTGGATCTTTCTTATTATGATAAGCGAAGAAATGGTGTTTGTTTTCCTTTTAAAATCATAGAACTACATAATGTACTCAAAGATAGTGTTTGCTGAGATTCACCCTTTGTATATCTTCATGATTTGTTTGTTGATTCTGGATCATTCTTCTCATAAATTCTCCTATATTCAATGTGTCAGGTGGATGAACCATCAGAAGGGACACCTGAGTGTGATACTGATGCAGGGGCATCCAGTTCTGCTAGCAGCATGGTTTCAGAACCTGAGACTCCCCGAGAGGTAAAGGCCAGGTGCCTGAGCCTAAAGTATGTTTCCATAATAGTCTTTGTATTTTCAGTGTCAGCCATGTATTTGCTTAACCAGGAACCTTTCTTCTTTGACGAATTGTGATAGATAACTTTCCTCACACATTTAACATCACGAGGAGGAGCCTTTCATGTTGGTGACATGACATATTGTTCCATGATTTTTTTTTTCCTGAAGCTCTAAATTGAGCTAGATGTCTTCTTGAATAGTTTTTCTAGGTTCTGCAGAATGAAATGTTGTATCAGCAGCAAGCACATAGTAAAAAGAAGGGCAGTTATGCTTTTCATTATTGTATAGAGCACCCCAGTAAACATGAGATTTCCTGTTAAACATCACATCATATTGTTCGACAAATCATTCGTTTAGCGTACGTATAGGTTGGCAATCAGGATTAAGAAGTAGTTACCTTTAATCTTGTTATGACTAAGTCTTAGAAGCAAAGCAAAATGCAATAAGAATAATGCCATTGAAACAAAAAGGTGTTTACTTTTATTATAATTCAAGTCAGGCACGGGCTCCGGTATAACAGAAACCCAGACACGGACATAGTATATAACATATCTACACCTTTATTCAAGGCAATTGATTTGGTTCACAATTGGCTTCAACTTGGAGCTTGGGAGGAGGGTTTCCTCCATCGCATATGCAGTCGCCGTTGACGCAGCGCCAGGGAAATCCTTGGCATACCTTACTGCAGTCTATCATACGAGGACAACGAAGCTTTCCCCTTGCTTCAGCTCCTGGCATCTTCCACACTGCCACTGCAGAAATTAGAAGGAGGAGGGCCAATGAAGCAAACTTGAAGGATGGTTTCTTCTCCATGTTGTTGTTGACACTCTTGTTTGTTGTTGTGATATGTTTTGGTTTCCAGTATGCAAAAGTAGGCTCATCTCCCACTCCATTTTATAGGAGAGGATATAAATATTAAGAGAAAAGAAAACTAAAATGGAAGATACTCCTTCCATATTAAATTACATCACGAGGAAGAATCATTTCTTCTCTCTCTAATATTACGGCAAGATATTAGTGTGTATTGATGGCACTCCAATCCAACCCATCATTTTCACGCTGCCATTTTCTTCAATTATTCCTCTTTTAACTTTAACTGATAACAATTCCCTAAAAAATACAAAAACTTTATCCTATAACAAATATATTAATGAATCACCAAAAATGAAAGATAACAATAATAATATTAAAAAGGAAACTGTATTAATAACAATGAAACGAGCAAATTGTAGATGTGTGTTAAACTGGTTGACCAAGGCACCTTGCACCCGAATTCGAACTCCTCTTCATACGTTAGAATAATTTAGATTATCCCTTTTTTTATAGCATTTGCTTGTTTCTTGACCTCCATTAACGACATGTCGTTTTTCAGGCGAAATTGATGATGACCATTGACCCAGTCAGCCAGTGCCCATTCCATTTACGTCTCATCGTTCGACAGGTGTTAACAAAAATCCAAATCGTTCCAAACCCGTCGCATAGAAACCCTAATCCCAAGCCCCTTATAAAAATCTCTCTTTGGCCTACACCTGATTACTCCGACGAGTACAAATCTGAAAAAAAAAAAAAAAGCGAACTATAAACTGATGGATTCCAAGCTTCTCGTTACGGATGTGTATCTTTCACTTCCTTTATCTTTTTCTGTAATTATTGTATGAATTTTACTGGGATTTTCATTATCAAGTATTATCTTGGAATTATTTCATTGTAATGCACCAGTTAGCCCCCTGCTTCTTGGAAATATAGTCGCAGGGAAATTTCGAGCAAAGGGTCGGTGCAAAATTGAAACTTTGGCATCAGTTGTGCAGTGAATTAGAGTGCTTTCTCTTGCACAACTAAGTTTTGCCCAAAAAGCAGGAAAGTTCAAAAATTGAAGAATGGCAAAGCAAAATGATGAAACTAGAAGTTTTTATATCTGAATTTGATGTAGAACCTCCTATCATGCCTTCAAAGTTCTCTGATTGCTTTGTTATATCTGTTACAGGATGACATGTTTTCTTCTTTCTAAAATTAATAGTTTGTATGTCTGTGTGAGCAAGGCCTTAATGAAGCTTAATCTGGCAAAAACTAGCAAAATGATGAGATTTGTATTACTGAATTTGATGTGGAATCCCATACCAAACTGGTCTTCAAAGTTCTCTGATTGCTCAAGTTGCCATGTAGTATATGTGATTGTGTTTGATTGGCAAGCTTGTTAAAAGGGTTTATTTTCTTTTGTTTAGTTTTCAAAGTTTTGAAGGATTTTCTTCTTAAATGTGTGTGCATGAGTTGATTTTCATCTTTGCTTGGCTGGCTGATGAGAGCAGTTGAAGTGAATATGAGCACCAAAATTCATAATCTGTCATGTATTTGTATTTCAGATTGTACGAGCATGGTGCTACATTGAAGGTATCTCTTTGCTTGTTCATTGCAACTTCTCTTGTATTCTCGTGTGATAGTTGAAGCAGAGGTTGGGAGACAATTAAATGATGAACTTGACATTTTTTATATGTACTAATAATGCAAGTCTTGATCTGACAGCAGAAACATTAGTTTTGTACTGAGAGGATTGTTGGCTGTTCCATGTGTGGCATTAGTCATAGTTCTTTCTTTCTTTCTTTCTTTCTTTCGTGCCTTTAATTTCAAGCGATGGTTGTCTCACTCTGTATCTTGCGAAAAAATTGACAAAATGTGTAAGAATGATAAATGAGGATGACACCAACTGCCCCTTCAGTGCTGTACAATGCAATGCGTAATAAGAGAGCAAGTATGCCTGAAATTTAACTCTATATGTTCAACATCTAGGCTTTAATTTTCTCCACCAACTGCCCCTACTGGGAAAGGGGGAAAGTTGTTGAATGGATGGGATCATGGGAGAAACCGTGGGATATAATTTAGGTTAGATTTTTAATAAGAGTAATGCTATTTAGACATACAACATTAACTACTTTAGCTTACCACCTTATGTAGCAATTGATGTATCATGCCAAGCTAATTAATGAATGTCGCCATGTCAATTAAAAAACCCTAGCGTTCCTAGTAAGTGGACTCATGACAACATTCTTTAATTGACATGGCATGACACATTAGTTGCCACATAAGGTGGCCAATGTTGTGTGTTTAAATAGCATTACTCTAAAAATGTTTAATTATAAATTCTGTTAGTTTTTAAAATGTTAAGTTTTTTTAGTTATAGTGAATTGACGGAATTGTTCTTAAAGTTAACGAAAAGTTTAACAGAGTTAGACATAGGTGGTATATTGCAACACTCTCTAAAGTTTAGGTGGTTAATAATAACAATTAAAAGTTCAAGTGGTAACGGTGCACATGCTTAAAAGTTCAGGCGGGATTTATGCAAATTTCCCTTCTTTTTATTTTTGTTGCTTATCAAATTATGTTTTCGACAAAAAAAAAATCAAATTATGTTTTAGGTCTTTTAATATTGGCATGTAATAAGTGAGTGGAAATGCTATAATGAGGGTGCTTGTGGGTGAGGATGGAATTTGGGATTTGCCTTTAAAAAAATTACAAGGCGAAAGAAATAACAAAGAAGGTGGCTTTTGGGTATCGCGTGAACAAAGTGGCACTTTTGCTGGCCTGGGGGAAGGGACTGTGTGCGGTGGTGGGTAGTTAGGTGGGGTGGGGTGGGGTGGATGTTGGGGGGGCCTGGGCAATGGCGTGGGGTAATGAGAGGAGAGATGTTTCCTTTCTTTTTAGGGAAATTTTCATAAATACCACTTGAATTTTTAAGCATGTGCACCATTATCATCTAAATTTTTAATTTTTATTATTAACCACCTGAATTTTATAGTCAATTAAAAAACCCTAGCGTTCCTAGTAAGTGGACTCATGGCAACATTCTTTAATTGACATGACATGACACATTAGTTGCCACATAAGGTGGCCAATGTTGTGTGTTTAAATAGCATTACTCTAAAAATGTTTAATTATAAATTCTGTTAGTTTTTAAAATGTTAAGTTTTTTTAGTTATAGTGAATTGACGGAATTGTTCTTAAAGTTAACGAAAAGTTTAACAGAGTTAGACATAGGTGGTATATTGCAACACTCTCTAAAGTTTAGGTGGTTAATAATAACAATTAAAAGTTCAAGTGGTAACGGTGCACATGCTTAAAAGTTCAGGCGGGATTTATGCAAATTTCCCTTCTTTTTATTTTTGTTGCTTATCAAATTATGTTTTCGACAAAAAAAAAATCAAATTATGTTTTAGGTCTTTTAATATTTTATTACTTTTTAAATATTTAAATATTTTCTTAATTTTTAATTGATATTCTAATCCACCTAAGCCAAAAAATACTCAAAAAATTCTTCCTATTAAAGGGTGTTTTTATTATTATGTTTTGATACGTGGTGTTTTTAATATTCTTATTTACAACAAAGGATGTTATTACTCTTAATGAGTTAAATAAGTCAAAGAAAATCCAGAAAATCCATATAAACCAAATATTTTCCCAAATATTTCAAGAGATCATGTTCCTTTCTTTAAATTGTATTCCAAATCTGAATATATCAAATTAATGTACAATCAAATCATAGCCAAAACAAAACTGCCAAAAGAGATTAAAGCAATATTAATAATATCAAATAGAACACGTTATACAAAAGGAAAAAGTTTTGAAATCTCAACTTTAAAAGAATTTAAAACCACCATTTAACACACATTTAAAATTTCAATTCAATAAAGATAGTAATAATAACAAATATATTGTATTTTGAAATAATCACAAAAATTCCAACACTATAAATATAGGCCGAAGGGATCACTTCACTACAGTGCAAAGCAAAGCAAACCTTCAAATTCATCACATAGATCCCAGGTGACGCATAGTAAAACAGCCAATGAAGGCAGCCATGATGAACTGGATGATCATCTTCTTTGCCATTTGTGAGTTCTTGCTCACCAGTATTAATTAATTTCTCCTTCCCATATAATGTTTGTATTTACAGAAATGAAAGTTTTGTAATGTTTGCAGGTGCACCATTATTCTCAACAGGAGCTGAAGCAGCCACGATCCTCAAAAGATGTAATAGTAACGATGACTGCAAGGCGTTTCCATGTACCTCAGACTTTGTTCTCTGCATTAACCACTTATGCACATGCCAAGTCGCAAAGGATTCTGGCTCTGCCATGCAAAACCAAAAGAACCAATGTTCCAGTAGGAATGACTGTGCAGGAATTGGGTGTCCTTGGGGAACTATCGAATGTGTTGATGGGAAATGCAAATGCGCCAACCGGCGTTGATGCAGCCATGCATAGTCTTAGCTACATTTATTTTAAGTACTTTGTTTGATCTCCTAGCTAATAAAGCTAGGTTCAATTTCAAATTAGTAAGGTGGTTTGATAAGTGGCTGTAATCTTTCTCAATGGAATAATACACCAAATGTCTTTAAAATATGTTTTTTGTCGATCAATCTCTTTAACTATGATAAAGGGAGAAACAGAGCATCCTGTCAAATGCAATATGTTTAACATCTCCTAGGCCGAAGGAAAATGGAGAGGCTGCCCCAAACATCTCGTTGATAGGATAGCTAAAAAACACTTCACACGAACCATCTCTTTCTTTCTAGAGATGGTTCCTTTGGCTGAAGCATGCATGAGAACCTTTTAGCTGCTATGGCTCTTCCTTAATTGTTCACATACTTTGGAGGAAATAATTTAATCAATTACTAATAAGAGGAAAGGTTCCTTCTCCCTCTAGCGGTTGAGAGGGTAGGCTATTTAGGTAGTCCGACGATTACCATGCCCTTATGTGTAGAGATACTCGCCTAATCCTCTAGGACATAATCCGACTTTTTTGTACTTGTTTCATCTGTAATTATCAATAAAATTCTATCGCCTTTGGACAAAAAAAAAAAAGAGCCTGATCACTTTCCAAAATACTTAAAAACTAACCAACAATCGCGTGAACCAAGTGGCTTTTTGGAGAGAGATTGAATCAACTGAATTCAAAAACCAAAAACTTGAAATTTGAACACTTTTGCTGGCGTGGGTGGTGTCTAGGTGGTGGTTGTCCGTTGGAGCTGGCCTGGGGGAAGAGGCTGTGTGCTGTGGTTAGTAGTTAGGTGGGGTGGGGATGTGAGAGGGGGCCTGGGCAATGGCGTGGGGTAATGGGAGGAGAGATGCTTCCTTTTTTTTTGTTGGGGTTCTTCGATCTGAGTCCAAAATTCTTAGCCGTCATTGGGTTTAGTTCACACCTTTTTTGTTGTAGATTTGGGTCCATTGACTTTTATTAATTTTTTCATGTGTCAATTTTACCCTTTGAGATAAATAAGGAAAGAATACTAATTGAAAATCCAAATTAATGTATCGATTCTTTCCTTCTAAATAGATTTCATATTTTAAATTTTGAATCCTTCTATTGCCACCATGACATAAAAGAAGTTCATATAAAACAATGAAAATAGGAGAATTATTGATGATATCTTCCCAAAAAATATTTACCTGACTACTAGGTAAATATGATATAATATGCCTAATTATTAGGTAAATATAAGATAATGTACCTAAATACTAGGTAAATATAAAATAATGTACCTAATTACTAGGTAAATATAACATAATGTACCTAACACATAAGTAGCATACTCTACTATACCTGATAAACATGTAGATTTTAGATCAAATGTGTGGATTTGAGTGATACAACCAATAATCGTAAAATGCCGCAACAAAAATATGGGAAAAATAGGAAAAACTGGAAGATAATTAACTATCAAGAAACAAAGGAATAAAACATGATGTGGGGGGAAAACACAAAACCTACCTGTGTTAATGGTTAATTGCATCTTAATTAAAGATATTAGGTGGGAATGAACTTTACAAAAACAAAAACGTGAAGAAAAAATGTGAGCTAAACAAAATCAAAAGTAAAACAATGAGGAATTGTATTATCAAAGAAGAAAACAAACCAACAAAATCAGTGAGGAATTGTATTATCAAATAAGAAAACAAACAAACAAAATTAGTGACTAACAAAAGTTGTGGCAAAGAGTAAAAGAATATTTATGTACCTTGTGTACAGGTTGCCATAGTGCAAGAATACAAAGCCACAACGGAAAGAAAGCCAATGTTCATATAGGAGCATGATTGAAATATAATAGCTACTTCAAAAATTATAGGAGACGTGATTTGTGGCAGTATTTTCCATTTATATTATTTTGACAATATCATAATTATTATGACAAAAATTAATTTCTTACCTTATTTAATTTTTTGGGGCATGATGGGAATAACAAAGTAATTTAAAAATGAAAAAAATAATATGTAAATATCAAAAAATAAAAAAAAGGAATGTAATCAAATGTGGCACAAAAGTCAAAGGACTTGTATCAACAACAACAAATACGAGGATTGCATCCAACTTATGTTTTCGATTTTGGACTTATACTGAATTTTTTTTTTTTTTTGGTTGCTTATCAAATTATGTTTTAGGTCTTTTAATATTTTATTACTTTTTAAATATTTAAATATTTTCTTAATTTTTAATTGATATTCTAATCCACCTAAGAAAAAAAAAATTGGCGCCACATTAGCAACTAATGGAAATTTTAACAGTATAGCTAACGGTGAAGGCACATTGCAAAATTTTTACAAATATTGGGAACTTGATAACTTTCGAAAATTATTCAAAGCGCTTTTTGACAACTAAAAGTGCTTATGGAAAGGCTAAAAGTGCTTCTGACAGTGTTTGGCAGAAAAGTTTAGAATGGCTTTTGGGTCATAGAAGCGCTTTCTAGAGAAGCACTTGTCATGTGCTTCT